CGTTAGACACCACTGTCACCAATGTTTGCTAGAGATCCCCATTACAGCATTCGAGGAACTCCAATAAGCGCTCCGTCCCCATCTGCAGCAGCAGACGGAGGGTTCCAGTTCCGGTGGTACCAGTAACTGTCTGATTGTAAATCCGTCTCGCCTTTCCCTTGAGCGTCGGCCAGATCCCCTGGTAACTCCTCGCAGCGCCGTTCTCCTCAGACCGTAATGATCTATTTGTGCCTCCGCACTGTTCACTTGCTGCCAAAGAGCCCGCACAATATTTAGTTTGTTATATATCAATTCATCCAGAAACCAACAGTCTGCGTACAAATAAGTCAGATCTATAAAACGGATGTGCACGCAAAACTCAAGTATAGGAACAAGACTAAAGTTCAGAGGTGGACGAACAACCAGAACTTTCTGCTGGAGTTTACAGGCGGCAAACGTTAAGAAAATCAACGGGACTATGTTTCTCCTGTTGGCCAAAGCAGTGGACAATAGTTCTCTTGTCTGTTGATTACTAGTGCGTGATGGCTGTAGGGGAGGGGGCTTAAGTGAAGGGACTTACAGATTACACAGACTTATCTGAATGTCTTATAAGTGGCTTTGTTGTTTCTTCCCATCTCTCCTACAACCAACCCAAATAAACATGCCACTTAACATTGACGCCGACTTTCTGTCGCACAGTGCGGTGAAATCTAATCAAACAAATATTTGTAATAGGCTTTTTTTTTTTTAACGCAGTGACCGGTCCGAACAGGTTAGAGTCACCAAACATTGTCAATCAAGTGTGACGTCTGACCCAGTCCCTTCACTCGTGACCAGGGCTCACTTTCATCTCATACAACAGACGATTTCACACGCGGCCACACCGAGATTTACCTTTAGCTTGATTTACAGCGAATACTATCCATTCTTGTGAGTTAAAACAGTTTATATTTATTTGAAACAATTTATATTTATTCGTTCATATACTTGATATTTACATTTCTTAATTAGACTACGAAATTACACGGTGTATATATACTAACATGTCTTTCACCCAAATATTCATCCATAAACAATTCGACAGCAGTTCACAGGTGTTGCCTGTTGGCGGAGATTGGTAAGAATAATGCATGTTTTTGTATGATTTATATATTTCACTATTTTATATTCAATTGTCTCTTTTATACTTTAGTGTTACAGTTCGGATGTTCCTTTACCATTTTATAAACATTTATTGCAACATTTTATTAACAGTTTACCGGAATTGGTGGAGTGTGACTGAGTCTGTATCTTATGTATAGTATTTTTTCTCAATGTGTTTTCAACCGCGGTTTCATAGTTACATAAATATTTTGAAAACATTACATTACACGAAATTGTGTGTATACTTGCCCAAACCACACGCCAGTATTAAAGTTAAAACAGATGTTTCACGTGATCTATAAATAGTCGGCACGTGTTTAAAGTTTAAAAACTAACAAACTGTTGATCGGGAACCTGTCAAGGATGCAAGTGACTTTGAGAAAGATGGCGTCAGTTGTAGAAACAATTGAACAATATAGTGCGCTCAGTCGAGAAGAATAGTTCTGCAGAACTAACGAATAAATGAAAAAATCACAAGACAGGTGTTCCGTCTCGAAGTTAACATTTTATATACAACATATGAAGATGGTGGAGAAAGTAACCCGCCCCCCCCCCAATTAGGCAAGAAAACACTAGGAGATCCCGAACCGAAACCACGCCCTTGTCACAACCTTACACATTTTGTAGGCAAATAATTGGGTTGGGTGAGGAGGCTAGTGTCCGGGCAACCCCCCCCCCCCCAACCCCCCAAAAAAAAGGCAGCAATAAATACTACAAGAAAGTAAGAGGGATAAAACAAAGCAATGGGGATTCAAATACTAAATGATGAATGAGGGCAACATATTGTAGGTCCCAAAATGATTCAAGGAAGATGGAGTAACTATTTTAAAGAACTACTCAATTTCAAAGCCTTGAGTGGGTACCGGGTGCAGTCCCGGGAAAGTAAAGGCGGCCGGCGTGATGCTGACCACATCACCCATCTTGTGCCGATTGGTCTATACAAATATAGGTCTAACCCTATATGCCCTATACGCCTGATGGCGTGGAAAAGGGTCCTTTACTTTTTTTTTTCACTTAATTTCAAAGAATAAAGATGACACTGCAAACAACAATACTATAGCAAACAGCAGAAAGGACGGATACACTAGAGCCAGCAGTTCTATTGATAGAAGTAGGAAATGTAATAAAGATAGCACACAGCGACTGGTATTGACAATCTCCCAGCAGAAGCCATCAAAACAGCTAGATAAACAGGAGAAATATGGGTCAGGCGAATTTTCCACACCGCCTGGCTAGAACAAGAAACACAAGGCGACTGGCAAACAGCAATAATTTTATACCGATATGGAAAAATAAAGGGAGTAAGAAAGAGTGAACTAATTAAAGAGGAATATCACTGAGAAACGGGGAAAATGTATGCCAAATTAATGCAAAGAAGATTTAAGACCATTAGTAAAAGAACTTTCAGAAGCCCAGATAGGTTTCAGTCGCAATGAAAGCTGCACAGACGTAATATTGACAAGACAGTTGACAGACAGGGCAATTGTGTATGGTAAGATTTGCAAATTCGCACTTTTATATCAGGAAAAAGCATTTGACAGAGTGACCAGGAATAGGATCCTAACATCTCCCTCCAACACCTCCTTAAAATAAATGGAGGAAGAAGAATATTCACTGATAACCTGTAACATCAAGCAATGGCAATGTTGTTTTACGCTATGATAAACATCGAAAGGAAAAAATAATAAAAACAGGCTGTTTATTATTATTGTTCACTGTCGAGCTAAGAACTGATTCCTGACGCTGCTACAAGCGCTTCAAGTTTTGAAATTTCCCGAATTGGCGGAACTGATGTTTGAATAAGTTGGCTTCAATAAACGATCTTAAGCATATGGGGGGTCAATGGACCTGAGTCTCGAGGTCCCGGCGCCTGTGAATCAATAATTGACATTCCTGTACTCGGGCCATTCTCCTTCTTCAGCAGCCCACGAAGTTAATATGCGACCTGATTAAAAGTCTGTTTTCTCCGCATTTTCGAAACTCCCTGCTCACCCCCTCGCTAAAGTAATATGTCAATTTTTAGATATCTGGTGTTTCTGTTGCACTTTCCATTTGATCCAAGAGAGCGTTCATATCTCCCGCTTGATCTTCATTGCTGTTAACTCTGGCGGAAAGTTCTGGTTGTTCATCCACTTGTGGACTGCAGTCCTATTCCAGGACCTGGGTGTTGCCTGTGCATCGGTTTTACAGATCTGATTTGTATGCAGACTGGTGATTCCTTGCCTCTCAGGCAGATTCCGCTTTATCATAACGAAGCTCACCACACAGAGGAGCGACAGCAGCAAGTCTGTCAGCTTGCGCGTGGCCCCTCACATCCAAACAGGCCTGAACAGAAAATTTACAATCTGCTCCTGATCATTTAGATCAAGGGAAGCAAACCAATCAACACGAAGGGCACCAGTTTCTGTTTTCAGAAGCATGCTCTGTGAGTCCGTTACAGTGACCACGGGTCTGTGCAGTTCTCCAGCCATCGGAAAGCTGCCGTTACCGCCTCTACCTCCATTCTCATACCGGATGTTGTGACGTTATTCGCAAGACAGAGAACTAAGAAATTAACGAATTTTACTTTCACAGGGTCATGGATTAGGCAGTCGGGAAATGAGAAAGCTGATCAACTGGCAGGGGAAGGTGCGACAAAAGAGCAGCCGGATGTACCAGTCACATACCACCAAAAGACAAGAATCATTAAATCAATCAGGAAACCACCAGCCCCAGCACAAGACGACTATTTTATTATGGACAGACCAGAACAAGTCATTATCCTCCGCCTCAGAACAGGGCACAACCGATTACGTAACCACATGTACACAAAATTCAAGTTAGTTGTATCAGCCATGTGCACCTGTGGAAATGTGCCCCAGACAGCAGAGCATATACTCCAGGGCTGCACCGATTTTGACACATTAAGGCAAACCTTTTGGCCAGAAAGAACAACAGTGGAACGTAAACTCTATGGACCACTGAATGAACTAACAACGACAGTGAAATTTTTACAAGAGACAAAACTGCTGATATAGACAACTTATTTCAGGCGAACGAAAGAAGAAGAAGGCAGTCGGGTCATGGATTGATATTTCGGCCCTCTCAAAGTTAACGCCAAAACTGTAAAACAATTTTTTTTTTTAAATAGACAATTTTTAGAAAAACACAGATCAAGAAGAATAAAATTACCGGCAATCAAAATATCCGAATGAACGTCCAGGAAATGGGCACATACCCAGGCGAAGTGGGGAGGGACATTAGTTGTGGCTGAGTAGTTTTCTAGCAGTCCTGAGACTAGAGCCAGGTTCTGCAGAGGACTGTGGAACAAGCACATACACATATACGCAAAGACACCCAGTAGAAACTCAAGAAGCAGCATCGTGAAGGTCGCAATTATAAAAGAAAGCTTTTTAAAGCTGGTTTCCTCGTGTGGTGCCCGGTTTTGCAGGGGAAAAGAGAAGATCCCCTGCCCCAAATGTTCATGAAAGGCGAAATTAGGGACAATCCTTCGGATTTGGAGTATCTGCCTGAAAGGCTGGGAGTCAGCAGTCTGCATACAAGTAAACCAGATTTGTAAAACGGATATGCACACCAAACCCAAATTTGAGAGCAAAATTAAAGTCCAGAAGTGGACAAATAACCACAACTTTCCGCCGGAGTTTACAGACGGTGAACATGGCACGAAGAAGAAACATACTTTAAACGGGATTGATTATTTTTGTTTGTCTTCAAGCAAGGCAAATGATAAATGTTGGCGTCATTTTGACCTATGTTGTAATCAGTGAAAATTAATTACCGTGAGAGGAAACAAAGAAACCACTTAATTGTTTGATGTTATTGCCAGAAACCGTGTTTATGTTGTTGATTCTGTCCACAGACAACGCCCGTGCCTGGCAATGGAGGAAGTTCTTTTACAGTGCGCCCAGGTCCTGTGGGACTTTTCCAGACTCAATCAGATTCTTAGACGGGTGAGTGTGTTCTTTCTTTCTTTCTTTCTTTCTTTCTTTCTTTCTTTCTTTCTTTCTTTCTTTCTTTCTTTCTTTCTTTCTTTCTTTCTTTCTTTCTTTCTTTCTTTCTGTCTGTCTGTCTTTTTTTTTCTTTTTAATTTGACGATAATTTCAATTTATAGTGTAATTTCAGTTTCTATGTTTTTCACATACCAAAGTACCAAAATTCTGAAAAAGTTACCAAACTCGATCTGTCCTCTTAACTACCCCTTCGGCCCCCCACTTCCATCCACCAAACCATTCATCCACCAACTCTCATCAACATATGATAAGGCACACCCACAATAAAGATTCATCTTTGCTCTTTCTTTTACCGTGGGTAGACCGGATGAGATACAGCTTTTAAATACTCTGTATACTAACTAGTTCATGAAGCAATTCCCAACAATTTTCTTTGTCCGTTCCGTTCACAACCTATATTGGTGTGCGCACACACAAACATGATGTACTTATACATTATACTGTAGTATGATGCAGACAGATCTGGTTGTTCGTCTACTTTTCAACTTAGTGTTTCCATCCATTTTTTACATTCGTTTGATAGATCTGGCTTATTATGCGTTCTGTTGGTTCCTCACCCTTCAGGCATCTGCGCTCCAACTTTGAAGGAAACACCCCTAATTAATCGACTCTTCGACATGTTTTTAAAAGAGGCAATGGGTCTATTCTTCTCTCTACAGTATCCGAGCCTTTTAGCCCAACACATAAGCTGTCAGCAAACCATTTCTCTCTGTTGACTTTTGGACTCCTTTTTAGGCAAAAATGAATGCATCTTCTGCCCCAAAAGCATGTCTTAGAAGGCGACTGGTAAGGGTTTACCAAATCGAATAAGTTGAGCTGAAAAATACCTAAATCGTAGCCTAGATGTAAATTAAAAAAAAAAATGTGTTCCACTGTCCTTTTAAAGGCGAAATAAGAAGCAGACTCTATTCGTCACCCGTTAATGGACAGTAAGGCTGTTGTCCCCCCTGCCGATAGGGTCTCGGAACCTTCAAGGGGCGAGAGTTCCCTGGTGAATTCCCTTGACGTTGGATGTGTCAGAGATGGTAACAACTGGTCGTTTTCTTCTGCAGAGCGAGGTGATGATAGTCCTAGGCAACGATGACCCACGCTGTGCCCAGCACGCTGCTGACCTCTTCCTAGAGGGCTGGACAGATTTTGTCCTCATTTCTGGCAAAGAGGGCACAGGAACTAGAGGTAGGTTTACCAGCTGGCAAGCTACTTATAGTTTATAGGTTTATTACAGTTTTTTTTAAAGCAAATAAAATCAGTGCCCCCCTCACCCTTATTTTCATCTCTCTCCAGATCATCCGGTTCTGTCGTTACATGTCACATAGAACGTATAGTCTATTTCCCCCTTTCCGTTCTATCATGTGAAGGCTCATCACACCGCTGAGACTGAGCGTCTGAAAAGAAACGGAGTAAACACAAATGTTGACAACAATGGTTCTGAGGTCCCATGCCATCATTGTGGAAGACTTTTCTTGACATGGGCGGGTCTTGCTAGTCACACTCGCCATCGCCATTGGCTGTGAGTCTCATGCCTCCTCATAGCGCGATATAACACTTATCGTCTGGAAAGTCTTATACAAGTCACACTCGCCATGGGCTGTGAGTTCCATGCTTCCTCATAGCGCAATATAACACTATCGTCTGGAAAGACGGAAAGGTGCCAATCATCTATCCTGTGCAGTCCTCATGATATCATGAATGGAACCCACCCCAGCACCTTTGGCCTCTCCCAGCAGTGTTTGTCTCAAGCTTTCTTTTGGCTGTCCTCATTTTCTCATTCCAGTTGCTTCCCATGTCAGTACCTGTTTGCAGATGATCTCTTTGCTTCTCATTATGAAGCCTTTTCTTTATGGACAGGAACAGTTTCAATCTATTTAACTAAAAAACAACATCCACATTAAAAGACCTTTTTTAAGCCAGTGGTATTATTATTACTGAAACCTGCCTGTAATTTTGTAGACCAAACAGCATCCAATGCTTGATTTAATCAGCACCACATCGACCGCCTTTATTTCCCAGCACATTACCTAGTAGCCATTTTATGCTGGGTTGACCTGGGAGCCAAGACCAATTTGAAAAGATTCTGCCTCAATGATGATTTGAACCTTAGACCTTTAAACCGTCAGATGAGCATTTTTAATCTATTTAGTCACAGCTACGTGAACCCAATGTTAGCAGCGGTGCTGGTAATGAATTTTCACAATGTCAAAAAATGGCAACATCTTTCATTTATAAATTTAAAATTATTTTTTATCTTTACAATTTTATAATACATTGTTTCTCTGCTTTCCTTTTTGATCTATGCACTCTTTACACCCACTCCTCTGATCAACTCTTTATATTTTATATTTCTAACTCTCACTCCCTAATACATCTTTCTCTTCTTCTTTTTTAATCTCTTTGCTCTCCACTCTCTTTCTGTTCTCTCTCTCTCTCTCTCTCTCTCTCTCTCTCTCTCTATATATATATATATATATATATATATATATATATATATATATATATATATATATATATATATATATATATATATATATATATATATGTATATCGAGAGAGATCTACAGACAGACAGAATCATAAAAACTAATAGGTACATCTTGTATTTATATATCTCTCTCTCTTTCTAGGAAAACTGCCTATGAATAAAACAGAAGCAGACGTATTTTGCGAGATAATGGTATCAAAGGGTGTCCCATTCGACCGAATCTTCCTGGAGCTTGAAGCAACTAACACCGGTGAAAACATCCGTTTCTCCCAGCGCATGCTTGAAAGAACGGGCCTCATAATTAGAAGTGTTATGCTTGTCACCAAAAGTTTGATGGAACGGCGAGCAGCATTGACCTTTCAAAAACAGTGGGTTGCGTCTGAAAAAGTCCATCTCTGTGTGTCATCCCCACCGCTGTCGCTGATGGAATATCCCAGCTCCTGCGTGGGCACGATGGACGAGGTGGTGGTTTTTCTGATGGAAATATTTGAGAAGTTCACAGACTACGCAGAGTGTGGGCATCAAGCAGCGGTAGAAATCCCAGGACATGTTCAGAGAGCTTACTCTATACTGGCAGCTCAGAAACACAGGAAGTGCTGGCACTAAATACTGTTAGATCAAAGTGTACAAGGTTTTAATTTATTGTGTCCAGACTGAATTTATCACACCCAGATTGTGAATTCATCACGTCCAGAATGTGAGTTCACTATGTCTAGATTGTGAATTGTGTCCAGATTTTGAATTCATCACACCCAGATTGTGAATTCATCACACCCAGAGTGTGAATTTATCATGTCCAGAATGTGAATTCCCTCTGTCTAGATTGTGAATTGACAGTGGATAGACTGTAAATTCACTGTTTTCAGACTGGGTTCATCATGTCCAAACTGTGCTTTTATTATGGCAGAACAATCTGCTAACTTTTTAACAAGCCTGGGTTGACCTCAGACATGTTCCGGTCAGAACTCTCCGGGAACCAAACATGTCCCACTGTCATGGCAGTCAAACAACTTTATTATTTTGTCAAAATCCAATCCGCACAGTGAAATGAGCAATGTCTGATTGGACCAGAGAGTCATATTGACCTTTGATCTTCTCCATCTCTGTCTTCATAGGAAAGATAATAAAAGGTCCTGTTTTTAATGTCCGTCATTGTGCATTCTGATTTCTGTTGCTTTAAATTAAAGTTGCAGAGCTTTGGCTAAAATGATTTTTAAATATATACTTGTAATTTATACTCTCTTCTTTATTTTGTTGCGTGCTGGGTTGACTGGTTGCTGGCTTGATTAGTTGCCTTGTTAGTTGCTGGGTCGATTGGGTTCCTTGGTTGATTTCTGGGTTGATTAATGGCCTGGCTGTTGCTGGGTTGATTAATGGCCTGGCTGTTGCTGGGTTGATTAATGGCCTGGCTGTTGCTGGGTCGATTTGGTTCCTTGGTTAATTTCTGGGTTGATTAATGGCCTGGTTGTTGCTGGGTTGATTAATGGCCTGGCTGTTGCTGGGTTGATTAATGGCCTGGCTGTTGCTGGGTTGACTGGGTTCCTTGGTTGATTTCTGGGTTGATTAATGGCCTGGTTGTTGCTGGGTTGATTAATGGCCTGGCTGTTGCTGGGTTGATTAATGGCCTGGCTGTTGCTGGGTTGATTAATGGCCTGGCTGTTGCTGGGTTGATTAATGGCCTGGCTGTTGCTGGGTTAATTAGCCTGGCTGATTGGTGGTCTGCTTGTTGGGTTGGGGCTGATATTTGCCTGTTTGTTTGCTAGGTATGATTTTTATATAGTAAAATATGAACATCTATACCTAGGTCAGGGTGTATAGTTCTGGACTTGTATGTAGGAAAATACTCAGGACAGTTTGCTTTCTTCTATCATCTTTGTGCTGGTTTATCTCTGCCTCTACTTCAGGAATCAAATCACTCTTGTGTACTCAACCACCACAATGTTTTAACTGGGCCAAAGTTTCGGAGGTGGGAAGCTGTGAGACAATGAAGAACGGACATTCTAAAATCACATCAGTTTGTTTGTTTGTTTGACTGACACTGAACACCCATATACAATGTTCTAGTTGCAGCATTCACTGTTACCAAGGCTTTTTTTCCCTAGAAAAAAGGTGCCACTTACCACAATGTATCTACAACAGTGGTACTGAAAATGTGATAAGAAAAGTGCTGGTACTGTAAAAAAAAAAAAATCCCAAACTTAAACACAATAACGACACAGGTACAGACAGAAGACATACTTGCAAGTTCAATACTTTTATTATCACAAATCAGTAGTGACGTTTAAAAGAACATTTTTTTATAATTGATCTTAATTTTGAAACATTCAATTTTCCATTCCATAAGAGTAAAGTAGCACAACAACCACAGAATCATGAATTAGTCACATGCAGAGTGACTGAAGACTGTGAAGGTGTCCCATAAGTTACACACACAGGAAAAATGCACTTGTTTTGAAAATGTCTCGATGTGTGCGATCCATTGCCAAAGAACATGTATAAGCACAACTGGGGTTATGAATTTTATGGTGTTGGTGCTTATTTCTTCCCATGTATGGACATTTATGTGACACACTGTATTAACAAATAATAGCTATAGCAGTTCAGTGGCTCTTACATTTGCCTGGTGCCCATGGGTTCAAACCCCAAACAAGTTGGGAATTATTCAATTGACTTGAGCTCCCACATGGACCCAACCTACAATGGCTATGCACATTTTCCGAAGAGACACATAAGTGATTAGCCGATACTGACCACATCAGATACAGAATAAAGATGGGTCTAACAAATATGAGCTGACACCATACATGTCCAGTGCACCAAACGTCAGGAAGAGGGTTCTCTTACCTTAATTGTTTTAACACAGAATGTAAACTACCAAACAGGTGAACATATAATTATGTACTGATAAAGAAACAAATAAAGCTATTTAAAAAATAAAAAGCATCAATATAAAAATAAATTCTTAAGAAATAACACTTTCTGTAAAACATGTATGTGGTCATCTATATGTCAATCAGCAAATTAAATGTCTGACTTTATGTCAGAACTATATATCATAGGTCAATATAAAATAATATGTATGATAACACTTTACATGGCTATATAATAACTTATAAGTTATACAAAAGTTGTAGCAGGCGTGACTGTAAAACATTCGGTCAACTATAAAAACTATTATTTAGCAACTGAATGTCTGACTATATGTCAGAAATATGTCACTGTTGCCAGCATAAAAGGACATTGTATGGTATGACAGTACATTGCTATATAATAACAAAACAAAAGATGTCGGCCTAAATAAGATAATTGAGACCACACATAAATTTTACGGAACAAATGTTCAAACAGTGGATCAAGAAGGTAAAGTACACAGCGCCCATCGCATGTCCTGCATGCTGTAATATTGGTTCTCAATTCAATTCAAAATAACATACTGCTATTCTACAAGAAAAAAACTGCTCCTAATTTTTACATGTTTTCCTTGGTGTGCTGGCTTTATTGTTGAATTCTGCTCTGTAATTTCTTTCTCCCCACTTTTTTTAGGTGTTTATTTTAATAAAAAAATTGATGTGGCCAGAAAAAGCAAATAGTGGGCAGTGTTTCTTGATGACACTGAAGTCAGATTTGAACTGATAAATAAAACTACGAAATGAGAGTTGTGACCCTCTGAAGTAGCCTCAGTTTTAGGAACTTGAAACAAGGACATGTCTATCTATGTATAATATTTAGATGTGGCCAGAGAAAGCAGGATTTCACAAATGGTAGAACATAAGCAACCAGTAGAGAAAGTATAATAGGACAAATGAGGAAGAAGAAAAAACAAGTGCAATAAATTTCAGAATGAAAATATTGTCATTATATGCATAGATAAATACAACTAAATGTTTCAGAAATATAAGTTACATCAAGATGGCAGTTCTACCGACAGTTATGTGGCAAAACTATTATGTTGCAGCATGTTGTGGCACAAGATGGTGAAAGCATTATTATCAAATTAAAATACACTGCTAAATGTTTCAAAAACTGCTAGTGGTTATAAAGGAACTAAAATGATGATGAATCACAGTGTTGATGTAATAAGTATGCCATTTTGATTATATTTATGTCTGTGTCAGTGTTGTTTAGGCAAATCGAAGCAAACGAACAGTGAAATCCTCAAGAAGAGAGACACTTAGAAACACACACACACAAATGCTACAGGTTGGTAGATCTATAAAGCCAGACAGAACCGCCCCTGAACAGATTCCATAGACAGTTGTTACTTAGATTATAAATGTTTACAGTTGAACATGTATGGTCACAGAAGAAGAGGCAAATTACATTTTTGCAATCATTAGGTCCAAGTGAATCATTGTTTGCACAAAATGACATAAAAGTAAAGTAAAGATTCCTTTTCACACTTCTAGGTGCATCGGGCATATGGAAAGAGCACCCCAATATTTTACAGACCAATCAGCACTAGGTGGGTAGTGTGGTCAGCATTACGCCGGGTGTCTTTACTTCCCCAAGACATCCATCCTGGTACACATTTTAGGCTAAGTCGACCTGCTGCACCCTATACCACGATAAAAATCCACGCAGCCAACATGGGTTTCGATAGCGGTACAGTGGAATTAAGAGTCGGGCTCGAAACACCAAAGCCACGGATGCCGTACAAAATGACATGCAGTACTATAAATAATATGCTAGAAATTAAACAAACAAAAAATGTAGTATTGTTTCAACAGCTTCAGGTGAATGCTAGGGTACTCTTTTTGAAACCTACATAAAGCAGCAAGATATCATTTGTGATAGTAATATATTTGAGCTAAGGAAAGGGAGATTACTCACCCGTGGTAACAGACAAGTTACCTCCCCTTGGGTAGTTTGGGAAATATCAAAGATGGGGGTGGGGGCAAAAAGTGTGTTGTGATTTACATTATAAAACTGCATATTCTCATAGTAAGATGGCATTAATCATTACCATTTACCAGAGAAAAGCATTTACTTTACTGTGTTCAAGTGATTTAAAAGGACAAGGAATCACAGGGATGTAAAAATATATACAAAAATATAAAAAAACCACCACAAGGACAGAGTTGCTTTCAAACAATAGTTATTCTTGAAACTATTCAATCTGTATCTGTAGTTAATTGAGTTTAAAGCACAAATTATTGCTGTCAAAGCAGCGTTACTGCTCATGTACAACCATTTAGGTCAAATATTTTGAGCAGTGCTTTTGTTTTCTTCTCCAAGAAAAACAGATGTTTGTACTTCCACTACAGTAGTACTTCTATTGCAGTAGCAATAAAAAAAAAACATGGTGCCTAAAATAGTGCTGGTACTGAATACTGTTCCATGCCACTGGGGGGGGGGGGGCTGATCCTCAGGCGTGCAATGATATTCATAACTAAAAATGATAATGCATTGTTTTCTGAGCTACCTTGTGAATATGCTCATAATGTCAGCAGATGTTAGCCATTGGTGGCTGTGTTTCTTAAGGCTATCTGTGATCAGGACAGACAGAAGTGTTTAGGCCAGACAGTAGTGATCAGGCCAGACAGTAGTGATCAGGACAGACAGCAGTGATCAGGACAGACAGAAGTGATCAGGCCAGACAGCAGTGA